AATAAATCAGACACAATAAATAATATTTATTCCAATCTTGATAGACAGTATGTCTGGAATTTCATCACAACAGATTGTCAGTCTGTTTTTTTTATACTCTAGAGATCAATCTTTAAAGAGATATTAATGGTATTTTCTTGTATTAATTCAGGGATTTTTAACCTGGGGTAATTTAGAAATTTTAGGGGGTGGGGCTGAGGGGGCAATAAATATTTGGACAATTATAAATTGTCTATTTTGATTAGTTATGTTGGAGGATGTTTTGAGTCAGACCGTATCCAGTATGTATAGTTTATATAATTTACAGTATTATATTTGTATGTTGCGTTGTTCTGTTTTGTTTTGAATCTAGTGTATAAAAATCTACATACTTAAAAAACCTATTGATAACAATATAAAACCAGAGTTCCTTTTTGGTTAAGTCTTTAGAGAAAATTCTTCAAAACCCCAGTGAGGCGTTCAGGTTAAAACAAATCAACCTACTTTATACAACTGATTTAAACTCTAGAGAAACATAAAACAATATCAAAATCTTGAGAAATCAAACCCCACTGGGATAGTTCTAGAGTTTATTTACTAATTCAATTGTTCCTTTTCAAACTGTTTGACTTTTTATTTCTTCCTTGAAAATAGATGTCATATAAAATATTATAAAGAAAATAACCAAGTATACAGGATGATTGTCTTTTTATTTTGAGTTCAGATGGCACGATGTTTTGTCTTCATTAATAATAAATAAAATACTTTAATAAAGGAATAATTAAATCAAAACTAAAGTTATATACATACAAAACTACTTGTAATAAAACTTAGGTATAAATAATATCTTAAAAATAAATATTCTAAGGTATATAAAGTGAAGTTTTACACCAGGTATTTTAGATTGTAACATTAGAGTTTAATAAATTACACTGATATCAACTTTCAAACTCTATCACTAATACATCTATTATAACTCTAGTCTATATTGTTTTTTATAATTTAATCCAATAGAAGGTATACAAGGCCTGATGGTAAAATTAAGCTCAAAAACAATTCAGTTTTGACTTGACTCTTGAGTTATAATCTGTACATGGAGTTTAACTCGCTGAGAAAAACATCACCCAATAGATTGATGTAGCCATCTTAAATTCTTTGCCTTCACAAAAATAAATTTTAAAGACTATACTATGTCTAAGTTTTGTTGGATGATTCGGACTATGTTTGGTGTTAGGATGTATTCAGACGAGTCTCAATGAAAGCACTGGCCTAGGTCACAGAGCAATAGATAAGCTTATAAATTATATGAAAATTAGTTAGTCATTAGTTTGCTGTAAGTTTCCCTGAGTGTAATAAAAACAGAGTTTCAGACTATATAGTGTAGTAATACTATAGTAATATATAATGGTGTTGAAATGGTTTGTGTTTTTTAACTCTGTTTAAAGATGTTTTATTCTCAATGATATATAATCTTGTTGATGTACTTGGTGTATGCTCGATGAAAATTCAGAGAGAAAAACTGTTGTTAAAACTACTACAGAAATTTTTTTATGTTTTACAGAAAAAACATATTTTGAAGCAGGAATTTTTGGAGTAAAAACTTGATTATTTTTAAATAACTATTTTGATGTTTGCTATATTTTGTGAGTTTGAAAGATTTTTGAAAAAATTCAAATTTTAATATTTTTCAAGTTTATTTTTCTAAATTTAGTCGCATTCCATTAAGAAGAAATGTTTCTGTATCAAATAAAAATAGAATTTAATTACACAATTTAAACATCTTAAACAAAATTCACAAGAACTTTCATCAGTCGAACACTTCATTAAAACACAATATAGAAATTTACAAACAATCAACTGATGAACGATCATGTCTAAATTCGGAAAACTTCTCGAGTTTCCATCAAAATTGATTAAACTATCTCCTTGTATTTTTCATTCTAACAATTGAGTTTCCGTAAAGACGAACACATTTTGATTGGTTGTCAAGTATTGTTTGAGCATGCTCAGTTACCGTTATATCAACATCGAACTATTTATCTCTTAGATTAGCCAGGGAAACCATGAAATAACCAATATTCTATCTTAGTAAAAAATTGTTTGACAATTCTATTAAGAAATGTTAGTAAACTAAATGTGAGTCCTAGTGAAAGAAAAACTATTATGAAATGTTGAATAACTAATGATTGGTGTTGGATGCCTGGTGGCTGTGTTTTTAAAGTAAAGAAAGTAGTCCAGTGGGCCGTGCCGCGTCCCTCCCTCCTCAAGCCAGTGAAATATGTTCTTTTAAATAGAAAATTAACCCTCTAAACACTTAAAATTCAATTCAGGTCATATGAAATACATCGTTGGCTTCTAGGGGGTGTAGCTCTGGCAGTCCCCAGACCACAAGCCTTTGGGCCTAGCTCCTCTTCACCCTTCGGATATTTTCTTGTGTGACCACACTTTTTTCTAATTCTTACCTTGTGTAACAAGCCAGGTGAAATACATACTCTTATATTTCAATTTTACATCTTCTAAATCCAAAGTAAGAACAACAATTGACAGCAGAGTCAATCAGAAGTCAAGAGTCAAGTTCAATATTTCCCAATATTGATCATCAACAAAATCTTAAACATCTGGACAAATTTTCATCAAAATCAATAAAAAGACTAAATTGTTGACTATTTCCAAATTTTCTGACTTCCTCAATCCCTAATAAGATCTGAAACTTATGAACAAGTCTGAATTTGTCAGTAAAATCAATTAGAAATTTGAAAGATTAAAGACTAGATTATCTCTAGGTGTTATAATTAAGGTAGTAGTGTTAATTGACTCTCGACAATTTGACAGTAATTAACATACAGTAGGCTTCGCTTTATAATACATTAATTAATATTTCTTAATTAGCTTGTTAATTAAAGATTAAATCTTTGTATTCCTGTCAAGGTCACCTCTAGTTATACAAACATTGGAAGGTTAAAGTTGATTTTATTGAGGGTATAATACATTTCTAGTTTGTCACAGTTTAAACTATAGTTGTGAGGTTTGGGGTTTTAATGCAGGGAAAGATGTCGAAAAATTACACAATGAATTTCTTAGGCGAATATTAAGTGTTCGCAATAATACAAATATTAGTGTTTTACGAGGGGAATTGGGTAGATATCCATTAAATATTATAAGAAAATTTCGTATATTTAAATATTGGTTTGATGTTATATCTAAGCGTAACTTGTAGTTAAATGATGTTTATATCAATTTAAAAACTGACTGTGATAATGGTAAGAAAAATTGGGCATATTTTGTTAAAGTTGAATTAGAAAATCTAGGACTTTCTGATATATGGAATAATCAATGTTATCTCAATGAATCATGTATTGTAATTATTAAAAAACGTATTATTGATAATTTTGTACAAAGTTGGTTTGCTGAAATGTCCTCTTCATCTAAACTTATATATTATATTGAATTTAAGGAGTGTTTTAATTTTGAACCTTAATTGACATTTGTTAAAAACAAGAAGTATGTTGAAATATTAAGTCTTTTTCGCAGTGGAAGTATGAAACTTGAAATTGAAACAGGTCGATTTAAAAAAAAAACCCAAAGAGTTTAGAATATGTAAATTTTGTGAGTTATCTTGTGTAGAAGATGAGTTTCATTTCCTTCTTGTATGTCCTTGTTTTAATCAATATAGATATAATTTTATTCCACAATACTATTATGAGCATCCTGATAAGAGAAAATGTATAGAACTAATGAAATGCTGTGATAAAACTTTAAGGTACAAAATATGTCAGTATCGTTATTTCTCATGGGGACACTGATGTTCACTATTGTAAATAATTTGTTTTTCCTGGATATTTATGCAATTGTATATATCATGTATATATGTTTCATATTATGTAAATGTATTTGTTATTGGGCTAAAGCAATGTTGCTACAGCTGTAATAAAGTTCAAGTTCAAGTTGTCACAGTTTTGTTGTAATTTTTAGTTGAAAAGTGAAATATGGACAAGTTGATGTATTTTACTGAGAGCAGAATTTATTTGTAGTATTCCAAAATCTAGATGTAATATTTGAAATGTGGAGAAAGTGGTATGAATATGTTTAGGTATTTCTATTCATATAAAAAATTAAATTTATTCCAAACTTTTACCTGAAAAATATTAGTTGTCATAGAAAACTCTTTAAGGTAAGAAATATCCTGTTGCCATGGTTATTAAGTTTTCTTCTGAAAATGAAATTCTGCCGCCTCCACGAGAAATCTGCTGCGAGTTAAAATAGTAAATCTAGAATCAGTAAGCTATTGTGAAAATGTCAATAAAATTAGGAACTATTATTGAAAAAAAGTTACTTACTCACTTTTACTCACTATTCACTTTCAACAATTTCTACTAATATTTTACAAATATTCAATATCCAATTTTTATCAATATTTTCAGCATTTTTTGTTTCAATTTATGACAAATTTTTTGTCCACTTCGAACAAGTTTATTTGGCCATTATCTAGTAAACTAATTTGATAAAATATAAAGAAATCAATAGAGATGATTGTTATTTATTCAATTTAATATAAAATTTTTAACTTTTTATCAGCTCAAGTTTTAATGTTATAATCTGATAATAAAATTCTGTAAAATTCTCTTCAAATAGACAGAAAAATAACATTTCAAAATAAAAGTATTTTAACATATAGTGTTAGGGTGTATTGAGACGAGTCTCAATGAAAGCATTGGCCTAGGTAACAGAGCAATAGATAAGTCATATAGTGTTAGGGTGAATAGAATGAATACTTATATCCAATTTTGAAACAGTTTTTGTAGTAGTAATGGTAGCACTGTAGACCTTCGAAATGGTGTCCGGTCAAGACAAACATGACCAAGTCGTCGACAGATTTGACCAACTCGTCGACAAATTACGAGACGACTCGTCGACAGATCATATATTATATTTATGCAGTTTTGTTTTTCTTTACTATGGCTTCACTAAAAACAGATCATATGACAAATATTAAATTGAATTGAGTTGATATTCAATTATTATAAAAATTCGGCAATACAACATATAGATATACATATTTGTAAAACCATTCCTATTTTCAGTGAGGCGTATGTTTTCGTGTAATTCACTCTTTATCTTTTCAAAATGTTTAATTTCCACTGTCATTTTTTTTCAGGTCTTTGAAGCAATAAAAGAAAATCTTCCTGAAATGAAAATTCAATGTGGCATTAGCGACTTCAAAGCTGGTATATGGAATGGTTTTAGATCTAGTTTTCCCGAAATTCCAATAAGGGGGTGTGGATTTCATTGGGGACAGGCTATTTTTAGAAAAGTCCTAGAATTCGGCCTCAAAACTGCATATTTCCGAAAAGATGAATTGTATAAACTTGTCAGAAAAGTGTTGGCCCTTCCATACCTGCCAGCTGAACACATTCGCACAGCCTTTGATAGGCTTAAGGATATACATGCAACAACTGACAATTTAATAGCCCTATTTAACTATATTGAAGATACGTGGATGCGTAATTCCATTTGGGAAGTTAAAGATTGGTGTGTTTTTGGACAGTCGATTAGGACAAATAATGATGTTGAGGGCCTCAACCAGCGGGCTAAACGTGGTGCCATCTAATTCTATATGTTGATCCCACTACTTTATATGGAGGCTGAAATGGTAACAATGATTTGCCGACTAATGTCCGAAAGGAAGATGAAAAGGTTACAGTCAAAACGTGTCAAAACCCAACAGGCCCAAATTATGGAAATTTGTAAGAATTATGAGAATGGAGATTTATCTGTAAATAAGCTTTTAAAGGAAATCGGCCAGGTAGTAGCGCTCTAATAGACATCGATTAGATCTGTTTGTTATGTTGAATATATTATGTAAATAAATGAATTATAAACCCTGCTTCAATAAGAACTCTCTTCTGTCGACGAGTTGACTTATGAAATTCTGTCGATAAGTTGAATTCCGTCGCCGACTTGACCGATAAAATTCTGTGGACGAGTTGGCGTGCCACGACTTGACTGGTATTCTTCGAAATGGTAACAAGGTAATATATTCTTAAAGTTAAGTATAATTTTACCTTCGTTTATTGTCAAACCTGAAAGACTTTTCTCCATCTGATAAGAATTAGTAAAGATATGTAATACCAAGCAGTGTGAAATGAGGAAAATTAGTCAGGAGAGTCTTACCTCTTGTTAAATTTCCCTCTGTTCAGAGTACACATGGCCTCAGTTTACAGTAAAAAAAACCTGAACTCACTTACACTATTTAAATAACAACAAATCTATTTCCGTTCAAATTCATTCACAAATCAAACCATAGAAAAATATTCAACCTTTGATAGAAGTTTTATAAAGATTGTTATAGTTGTATAGAAACATCAAATGTTGTATAGAAAGTGATGAATAAATGATTGAATACACAATGATAATATTCCTATCATGTATCTTGTAGTGATACATAGTGATACATAATAATACACAATGATAATAGTCTTATCATGTATCTTGTAGTAATACATAATGATACATAATAATACACAATGATAAAAGTCCTATCATGTATCTTCTAGTGATACATAGTAATACATAATGATAATAGTCCTATCATGTATCTTGTAGTAATACATAATGATACATAATAATACACAATGATAAAAGTCCTATCATGTATCTTCTAGTGATACATAGTAATACATAATGATAATAGTCCTATCATGTATCTTGTAGTGATACATAGTAAACATAGTGATACATAGTAATACATGACATGACATAACATGAGTCTTTCTATTCCAGTAGATTGAAATAAACTCAGATGAATCAAGTGTCATATATCTGTCACTTCCAAGTTTGAAATGAGCTTTAGTTGGTGGACAATAGAATAGCTGAATTCTCCCTCCTGTTAAGTGAGGTTTCAAAATTTGTATTCCTTTACATTTCATTTTTGTTTTCAAAAATGTCTAGTGTGTTATATTGGAAAATTAACTCTTATTTTCAAACTGAATTAACATGAATACCTGTTAAACTAGCTACAATTTATATACTTTCTAAAGTTTAAATTTAAAACATACCATTGTTAATCCATTTTTTAATCAGTAATATCTTACAAATCCCTGATTTCCTGTCTTGATATTCATTATATTAATCTTATTCACGGTTTTTAGAAAGAAAAAACTTATAAAATATCTATAATAATATGATATCCATCTAGAGGTATAAATAAAGAAAACTAGTAAGTGTTATGCATGGTTTAATATTTATAAAGACAGTTTTATATATACATGGTATTTAACTTATAATATTACAATATACCAGGACCTATATCTTTATACCATGACCTATATCTTTATATATCTACTTAAAGAGGCCTTACCATTTAATATATACCATGACCTATATCTACTTAAAGAGGCATGACCACTATTTATTTATACCATGACCTATATCTTTATATATCTACTTAAAGAGGCCTTACCATTTAATATTTACCATGACCTATATCTACTTAAAGAGGCATGACCATTATTTATTTATACCATGACCTATATCTTTATACCATGACCTATATCTTTATATATCTACTTAAAGAGGCCTTACCATTTAATATATACTATGACCTATATCTACTTAAAGAGGCATGACCATTATTTATTTATACCATGACCTATATCTTTATATATCTACTTAAAGAGGCCTTACCATTATTTATTTTATTATCTAGAAAGGGTATTAAAGGTATAGTACCATGTATAAATCTATTAGTGACAATTATAAATAGTATACTATCAAACTGATAATAACATACTTTATAAAACTTTATTCAGAACAGGAAAGAAACAATATTTTACAAGGATAACAACTTAGGTTCACAGTTAAGGATCCTTTCTACCAGCTGGTCCTTGGACAAACCTCTCGGCATTGATTGTTCCCAGATTATCCGTACCCGTTTACAGCTGGGTCGACTGAAATTATGAGTGAAGATAACTTATTCATTGGACTTTCACACCAACTGAGATTGGAACCCACAGCCACCATTGCCCGACGAAACCAAGCATGTAAAGAACCAACTCTCTAACAGACTGTGCTATAGAACCTCAATTAAAACTTACTGAATTAATAAGCTTATCTATTGCTCTGTTACCTTGGCCAGTGCTTTCATTGAGACTTGTCTCAATACATCCTGATACTAACTAAGAAATTTATAGAACTAGCTTTCTAGCCTAGGCCTGTGTTTTTTTATCAGAACTTATTATATCACCATATAATATAAACTATAAACCAAATTTTAACACATTATCCAAACTTTAAACTTTCCTCTTTTTTTCAACTTTAACAGAAAATCATGCAGTTTTCATATATGTTACACATAAAAAATATAATAGAAAAATCATTTTAACAGTTTTATTTCCATTAACAACTCTTTCTACCAGTTTTAGCTTTAAAAAAACTTGAGAAATGATTTTAGAATTATGTTTTAGGGTTTATTTAAAAAACATGTGACGATCAAATTTCACAAGCTGAATTTAACTTAGTGAGTTATATTCACTATAATCTCTTGAGAAGACTTGCTCGACAAACACTCAGAAGCACTGGCTCACCTCCCCCACCAAATTTTAGGTGTCTATGCCCATCAAGGGTTCAATGGTCATACAATAGCTTGTAATACTGGGGTCAATCAGACCTGCAATTCCACTAAAACTAAGCATTTATTATCTGTAAAAGCTACTGTAAAATTGCTAGAGTTTTTGTAGAAAAAGAAACAATAAATTTCATGAATAACAAATAATATTTCATAATTAGGAGATTTCTTTCAGAAGAATCATATCAATAATAAAAATAGGGAAATATTAAATTTGTATTGGATAATCATCTACTTTCGGTCCAAGGAAACACTTGATGATTCAAACACTGACAATAAGGAAGGTCTAGATCTAAAACCACAAATTTCGTAACAATTTAATTTCAACTAGACATCAATATCATGGCAATAAAAACCAATCCTGTAAATAGTTTTAGAAATTTTGAATCAAAGTTACAATATTTCATAGAAATAACAGTTTAACAAAAAATCTAAACCGAACCTCAACAATCTTCAATCGATTATTTGACAGGGATATGAGAGGACACTTTCCCATCTGACACCATGGTCAATGCTTTTGAGTACATCTTAAACATTTGATATCTACTACAGTCTGACATTTTCTCCTGAATACTTTTGGGTTTTTCAAGTTGGTTCTCCCTGTCAGTGATGCAAGTTGGAGAGAATGACATGGAGAAAATGTCTTGTCTTTAGGTTGAGAAAATAAACTAAAAACAAACCATGCATGTTCTTGATCCTTCAACAGTTGGAATCGAAAACAAGAAGATTAATGTAGCTTTTCATAGAAATTCACCCTAATTGCACACTGCATGGCTTATTGCCTGTCTTTATTAATCAGATGTAGACAAACAGGATATAAAACTCAAAATTCATTAAAATTCTCTTCCAGTTAGACATGACTGGTAAATACAGTGAAACAGCGACCCTGATATAATAAATTGGAAATATTAGTAAAATGAGTCATTGCTATAAAAATTTAACTCCTGCTGAGTTGCTGATATTTTTAAAGTAGTATTTAGCCGCGAGGTTTATTCTAACGACAGTCTCACTGCCATCGTGTCATGTCATTTAGCAATCTATAAATAGACATGATCTAATCTGGATTAGGTCATTGATAATCTACCAATTAAAACAGATTAAATAATTTAAGCTCTTTTTCCTTCCATACAATATAATATTGAGTGATAAAACACTTTACAGTTAAACAACTAATACAGATATTTAATATATCATTGTGTGAAGTTTATAAGTCTAGGTTCCTACCATGTAGGCAAATTAAAATTTGTATATGAGCAAAACAATTAATTAAAAATCTCCTCCAAACCCAAAGAGAAGTACCATCAGGTGTTTTGAATGTAACTTACTTAACAAATATTGTGGAATAAAGGTGGCTCAAGGGGAGAGGGTAAAAGACCTCCCACCCTCCCTAATTTTTTCAAGGGGAGCATGCCCCCAGACTCTTTATAATTGAAGAGTATGATTTACGATATATATTCTATCTGGTACCAACTGTAACAATCAATCAATAAACAACCAATCAGAAGAGATTATAAAGTATGTGGTACAATGTTGTACCATACAATGTTTGATGTTAGTATTTTAAATACCAGGTGTATTTTACTCCTATCTTGTTTATTTGGTGACAAATTATGTAACTAAATAACAAATCTATAAAAGAGTGAAAAATAGATTGAAATGTAATAGCTGTAATGGCAGTGAAGAAATTTAATTGTTGCCATGACTTCTCGTTTGTTTTCAGGGTGACTGTCTAATAAAATTTTATCATGGTAACAAAAAGTTTTAAAAAACTGATATCTTACTTATATTTATACCAAGACTATGTTTTTCAAAATTTTATTATGGTAATATTTAATCAGAGTTATTGCCACTGACAAATTTCTTTATTGAGTCTTTATAATTTTTCAAAACATGGATTAGCAGTTTATTCATATTGAAAGTTACTTGCTTGTTTTTGATTTTCTATTTCCGTTAAATTTTTCATATTTCAAATCCAGTTCAATAATTTTTGTGTGTAAGAAATTATCTAGTTTCCTTCTTTAATATATATACTATACTATATATTTCTAGAGACAATTGTTCATGGCATAAAATTCTACATTCCTGACTGGATTTTATAATACAGATATAAATATTAATAACTTATAGATAATAGGGGTTGGTTAGTAACTAACAGTGTGGTCTACTCTCGGAAACATTGATCATGGCATCAACAAATAAATATTCTTCATTCCTGACTGGATTTTATAATACAGATATAAATATTAATAACTTATAGATGATAGGGGTTGGTTAGTAACTAACAGTGTGGTCTACTCTCGGAAACATTGGTCATGGCATCAACAAATAAATATTCTTCATTCCTGACTGGATTTTATTATACAGATATAAATATTAATAACTTATAGATGATAGGTGTTGACAATGAGCTGACTCTCTGGCTTCAGATTCAGCCATGTTTTTATCTTTCAGAGGAGGATTTGAACCAACACATCATATCATTACTGTAGGGTTGTTACTATCAGTAACCTAAGATATTATAATAACTTTCACCCTTGAAGAGATCATAGTCTAAATAGTTACAAGGATCCCTAGTTGACTGTCAAATACACAATTAAACACACCAAGTTTTACTTGTAACAAATTATTTCTGTTAAACTTATAAAACATTATTGTGATGTAAACTATGTGTTGAAATGTGGTGGTCAAACCTGTCTTACAACCAACTGATAAATCAGAACTGAAAACTGGTCTAAGATCATTATCTTACCAACAATTAAATACATTTAACTTGTAACATTCTTCTTGATCTACCATCTTACACACTCACTGTTTTATTCTTCTTGATCTACCCTCTTACACACTCACTGTTTTATTCTTCTGGATCTACCCTCCTACACACTCACTGTTTTATTCTTCTTGATCTACCCTCCTACACACTCACTGTTTTATTCTTCTTGATCTACCCTCTTACTCACTCACTGTTTTATTCTTCTTGATCTACCATCCTACACACTCACTGTTTTATTCTTCTTGATCTACCATCTTACTCACTCACTGTTTTATTCTTCTTGATCTACCCTCCTACACACTCACTGTTTTATTCTTCTTGATCTACCCTCTTCCATCTTACTCACTCACTGTTTTATTCTTCTTGATCTACCATCTTACTCACTCACTGTTTTATTCTTCTTGATCTACCATCTTACTCACTCACTGTTTTATTCTTCTTGATCTACCATCTTACTCACTCACCGTTTTATTCTTCTTGATCTACCATCTTACACACTCACTGTTTTATTCTTCTTGATCTACCATCTTACACACTCACTGTTTTATTCTTCTTGATCTACCATCTTACTCACTCACTGTTTTATTCTTCTTGATCTACCCTCTTACACACTCACTGTTTTATTCTTCTTGATCTACCATCCTACACACTCACTGTTTTATTCTTCTTGATCTACCCTCCTACACACTCACTGTTTTATTCTTCTTGATCTACCATCCTACACACTCACTGTTTTATTCTTCTTGATCTACCATCTTACTCACTCACTGTTTTATTCTTCTTGATCTACCCTCCTACACACTCACTGTTTTATTCTTCTTGATCTACCATCCTACACACTCACTGTTTTATTCTTCTTGATCTACCCTCCTACACACTCACTGTTTTATTCTTCTTGATCTACCCTCTTACACACTCACGTTTTATTCTTCTTGATCTACCCTCCTA